ACCAAAGCAATATCACTTTGCAGCAATATCAGGACATTGGGCCAATTATTCTATAGCTCTGCATCTTCATCTTGCCATGGCTTCTCTGGTCAATGCCTCAGTTGAGCAATTCAGCACCAGCATGCAGTCCATTTGGTAAGCACTCCCCAGAATGCAATAGGCTCCAGTTAGTGTGAGGCACACTCCTGACTGGTCCTCAACTTTGTTTGACACTAGGCCAGGTAAGCAGAGCTGTGGATATTTCATGTTCTGCAGACTGACTTGGGACTTGATTCCTAAAGGTTGAGTACTAAGGACTCAAGACATTATTCTTGCAAATTACATAATGTTTGACAGAATAACTGCCAGTTTAACCTCTCTGTTCAAATTCCTGATTGAATGGGGAGCCAAGATATTTGTAATAAAGAAATTGGTGCCAAGTTGCTCTTAATGGGTAGTGTCTGGTTCCTGAGCAAATTCAATAAGAAATTTTGTTAACAAATTAGTACGCTTGGATTTCTTATTAGGCTTATGGATAGGCTGTTTGAACAGTCTTGACCCTTTCAGTGCTTCTTATTTTGACTGACTTTTGATTCTGAGTAAACTATTTCATACACAATGTGGTTTTTGTCTAATCATTATGAAACCAGCGTTACTTTTAAGCTAAGAAAGGTTTTGGCTGAAATACAACAGACACATGAATCTCACTATGCCTTGAAAATTTTTCATATATAAAATAATCCACTCACATTTTAAATGTTCTAAAGCAGCTTAGTTGACAATTCATTATTTTATATGTTAAACTACATTTTAAAGTCGTGCTTAAACCAAGGAAAGAATGTGCTTTAGAGTTAATGATTAGGTTATAAACTCATGAATAGGACAGCAATCTTCCTCATGTAGAAGAACAATAAATGATGTGGTCTTTTTACTCCAGATCTGAAAGTTTAAATCTTTTTCTGCAGACTCCTATATATTTGATGGGAGAAATTATAACTTTTATTTTCTTTAATATGATTGTAAGTGTTCTTTTCTCTTTGGCATGTATGCTTATAACTCCAGTTAATTTTGATGGAAATTATGCATGTACCTTGAGAAGTACACACACACACACACACACACACACACACACACACACACACACACTTACTTTGAAGCTTCATGTGCTTATGCAGCTGTGAAATACATGGGAAATTTCCTCCCTGATGCACCTGAAATAGTTTCACTGTTCTGCTCGCTGCCTGGAGTTTTAAGAATGGGACAGTAAACTACTTGATCTCAAATACTCTACCACTGCCACATATTTATTTTATTTACATAAACTTCTGTGAACAGATATCTGTCATCATCTCTGACAAACATTTTAGAAGAACACCATATAAGGAAACAAACTGCAGGAAACTTCATTATAAGCAGCAATAATTAAAGCAAAGGAAAAGTGTGGAAGAAAATCATGCCCACCTTAATCTATTGCTTCCCAAGAAAATCTCCCTCCTCATATCTCTTTAGGGAGATAAACTTTTCATGGTTCCCTGATCTGAATTTAGATCAAGTGGGAAGTAAGTTCCAAAGCTAAAAATCACTCATATATGAGAATGATGAGGGTTGCAAAAGTAGAAAGACAGAATGCCCTTCTAACAGCTCCCTCCCTTATGCTTGTGATAGGGTGGCAGGAGTGGGGCAGAACGCCCTGCTCACCCCCTTCCTCTTACCACTAGGTGGGCGAAAAGCCTCAACAACACCAAGGCAATTTGGGACAATGCTGAGGGCAGCGTGTCAAGCAGTTCAGTCCCAGTGCAGCAACCCAGAAGTTCCCACCAGGAAACACAGAACACAGACAAGTGAGGTCCTGGCTGAGACTGCCCCTGCCAGAATGCCAAGAAGATGGGATTCCTGACAACAATTCACAGCATGTGCTTCCCATTTCAACAGGGGACAACTGCTGCAGCTGGAAGACTTTGCCCCACTCTGATTGGCTGGGTGAGCCCCAGAGCAGCTCAAAAGGGACACTGGAAGCAGTGATGGGGGAGATCGGATGCCAGAGGAGCATGCCTGAGGAGGGCAAGAGGCAGCTGAATTGCCCAAATTTTCAAATCCTAGTTGCTCATGGACTACAGGAGACACCAGGTAATAAATACAGGAGGTACTGCTAAGGAGCTCTGCTGTGGAGACTTAACAGTGGGAGCTAGGATTGACAGAATATGTATGCAGAGGCCTATGGTGGGGGCGTAGGGATAGAGAAGCCCCCAATCCTGACCCCAATAAGGGAGCTTTCTGTGCAGCAAGTCAGGACAACATAAGTAACTGAGCGTCATCCCAATTGGTTGAGTAATGACTTCCCCCAAGGCAAAATTATACCTCTTTAGCTCTACAATCAAGTCATGGCGGGCAACTGCCCAGGAGGTGAAATATATTGCTCACCAGCAAGGGCAGTAAAGGGAGGCTCAGAGTAGGTCTCAAGGGTTGTCCCTGTGACTGACGGAAGGACAACCTAGTTGTGGCACCGTGGCAGAGAAGCATTCCATGAAGTAAGTAGGCCCAAGGCCAGTTAGGATTTTGTGGTCAAAAACTCTTCATGGAAACCCATGGGCTGTAGAGTGCAGATGGCAAAGCTTGGGTATATGTTAAGACACTGGCTCAGTCAGAAGCATGCACTACACTGCACTGCCTTCAGTTTCTACATGGATTTAAGACCTAGCACCCAAGGTTAAAATGTTTAAAAATTGTCATGGGAACTAGCTTCATCCTTAATTGTGGAGAAACTATCATGTAATCACCTACCCTGGAAATCTTCAAGAGGAGACTGGACGGTCACCTTGCTGGGGTCACCTGACCCCAGTTGTCTTTCCTGCCTCGTGCAGGGGGGTGGGACCTGATGATCTTGTGAGGTCCCTTCCAGCCCCTTACAATCTATGGATCTATGAATCATCATACCATAATGTCAAACTCATTTTGATGGCATCTTGTACTCTCTTACATCTCTTAGCTATTTCTGTTTCATAGTAAAAAGGATGTTTAAGTCCACCAACCTTCCCTTCCTGTTCTTGGGATGGCCCCTAATATGGAGGACCACTGGAGCCATCTACGTAGATGCATGGCTCCTCACTCAACCAGCCAGCCCTAACATTTTTTTTCCCTCTCTGCTTCTGATCTTGGCTCAGCTGCAAGTGGCTCTGGACAGTTCCCAGCATCCTACTAGCATACTTTCCCCATCCCTCACATTACGATACAGAAATAAAGGGACAGTTTGCCAAAGGAGGATAAAGAGAGTTGGGAAGTAATAAACATGCAACAGAGGGAAAATATGAATAAGAGCAGGAAAGGAAAAGAAGAAAAATACTCAGGACAAAGCAAATAACCCACAAGATGAGCAACAGAGACAACATAAATGTATTAGTAACTGGTGAGTAATGGCACAAGTAACCAGCTGCTAATCCATCTTAACAATATGATCAGAACTTGATCCTCTCTTAAAAGTTGATTACAGCTCTTTCATTTTGTTTACGTTTTTGTGATCTGCCAGCTTACCAGTTAAGAATGAACATTTGTGGGACAAGGGATGTCATTTCTTGCCTCACCTAAATGGTGAAGGCATGTGACAGGCATCCATGCTGCCCCTGCTTTGGCAGCTGAAAATCGTCATCCTAACATATTTACCTCTCTCAGTTTGGGGTGTTAATATTCCTTAGTTGTCTCTAACATAACAAATATCAGTGCCGTGGCAGCAGTGAGACAGAAACAAAGCACATCCTAAGTTCCTAACCAGTATCTGCATTTGAATATAGTTATACAGGCAACCCCTGCTTAATGCAGTTTCACTTAGCGCGGTTTCGTTATAGCGTTAATTTAAAATACCTACCTGTTTCACTTAGCATTGAGTGTGTTTCGTTATAGTACTCAGTGCAGGCAGAAGGCATGGGGAGAACCAGTGGTGACGGCGTCAGCATCAAGGGAAGTGGTGAATAGCAGCTGGCAGGAGCCCAGTTAGGGGTGGCAGGAACCTGGGGTCCACTCTGGCACATGGTGCTGGAGCACGCTGGGAGGAGCAGTAGCAGTGAGAAGGAATGGGGGCGGAGGGCTGGGCAGTGTGAGCTTGGAGCCCAGGCCGGCAGGGCCCTGGGCGAGGTGGCAGGACTGCAGGGTCTGCTCCGGCGCATGGTGCTGGAGCAGCTAGCAGGTGGGGAGGAGCAGCGGCAGCAGTGACAAGGGCCAGGAGGGTGGCAGGAGCATGGGGCTGGGCCACTGCAAGCCAAGACCACAGGGCTTCCCCACCCCCTGCAGCTATCTGTACCGGGTGCCCTGGAAGGAGTTCCGGCTGAAAAAAGTGGGGCATGGGCAGGTGGGCAGCCCCACTGCTTACTCTGGACCAGAGCCCTGCTGCCTTTTCACCATAAATCCCTGGGCAGGCAGGTCCCCCAGGGCCAGCAGGAGTGCAGGATTCAGGGCGGGGCTGCAGAAGAATGGGATCTGGGCTGACAGATGGTGCAAAACCTTTATTTACATTAAATCCAATGGGGAAAATGGGTTTTGCTTAACGCGCTTTCACTTAGCGCTCAGTTTTTCCAGAACCAATTAAGAGCGCTAGGCGGGGGTTGCCTGTATGCTAATAAATAAATTTCACTGTTTGCCTTAATAATGCCAATTTAGACTAAGCACTTATTATATGCACTGGTTTGCTTGCAAAATAATGAGAAGTGCAAAGGTAACTCAGCCATAGTTTGCCACCCCCAAAACCACCCACTTACAGTGAAGACACAATCAAAGCCTTTTCAGTGTACAAGACTTCTCTTTTATGAAGAGTTTGCTTAAATATGTAAGCAATTTCATGGACAGAAAATCTGAGTAATTTTCAAAAGGTCATCTTTTCCAAACTGGTTACTTTAAATTTTATACTTCCATTGTACTCTATCTGGCATTTGAATTAGTCACTTTTGAAAAGCTGAACTTAAGGTTATTACTACCAAAAGCCATTTACTATTTTCTTCTAATGTAATCAATCTGTTATCAGAAAATCATCTCACCTTGTTCTGGTATCTGTGCAGCACCCAGAGCCATGCATATTGCAAGTATGAGAAGGAAGAGTTTCCTAAAGGAAAAAAAAACAAAATGTGTTAAAAAAAAAATGTAAGTGATCAACAATTTAAACCCCCGCTGAGACTCAGAATGCCCTATTCAAAGACCAGTAAAGTAATGGAAAACTGCCTATTGACTTCAATGAACTTTGGGTCTGAGTAAGGGTGCCTTCAAATTGTAGAGTTTTTCACCAAAGCTTTGGGATGTCTTTACGTATGGATCAAGGGCAATAAGTTCCCTAAAATTTGACTAAATACATGTCCAAAACATATATGCTACACTGGTTCCTATTTGCAAGACAAATATATTCATTTTGAAATCAGTCTGTTTTGTTGTATATGTATTTGAAGGCTGCTATATATTAAATAAATACTATTGTAATGAAATTGTAATTATCTCACAGAAGTTGCATAAGAAATCATGTGGTGATCATTATGTATTGGACCTACAAGTACCTGTTAACAATTTTATTACTATATTGTTAGTTGACACAGAAATCATAATGATATGCAGAAGCTAATAATTTTGAAGGAGTTGTGCTTCTTTGTTTTTACTTGAATGGCCAATATCATAGCTATAAAATATTAGTGTTTCCACGAGGCAGCCTGTCTATCAGCAGTATAAAAGTAAGAACATCCCTGGCTCAGAACTGCATGCTCAGAGGGGCCAATCCCATATCTAGAGATAACCTACTAGGCAAAACTGGATCTTCTTGAACCTGTTATTGTTATTGAACCAGGTATACTGTTATGCCTGGCACTTGTTTTAAATGAGAAAAAACCCACAATTGCTATATCAGTGTTGAACAGAAGCAAGAGAATAATTTGTTACTATGATTAACATTATCTTTGTTTTTCAGATAATTTTTACCTTTGACCCACACATTAGTAGGCTTCACAAGATAGTTATTTTTCACACAATCTGATTAGCATCTATAAGATTCTGGAAATACCAGAATCTTTTGTGCTTGCTGCATGATTAAACAGTCAGGTTTGGAAATAGTATACATAAAAACACAATACCAGTTCTTATTTGTACACTACTATTTAAGAAGAAACACGTCCATAGGACAATTGCAGTATTTTACATTACTAGATAGTTATTACGGGATTGGTCCTATAAGCATTTACTGTCCAGTCCAATCCTATGCTTACTACTTATCGGAGCAAGGACTGGAAGTTTTTGCTGGGAAAAAACCCTATATCTCTGGAGCAGCTGGAGAAAAAGAGAAACATAAAAGATCCGATCTGTAACCAAACACCTGTCCTTCAATGAAACTTAAACAAATTTAAGTATTTGGCAAGTTATATAATCCAGAGCCACATGCAGGGAAAACAACCCACGACTTTTAACTCTAATAGCAGGTTCAAATAGCAATGGTAAGCAAGCTTCTTCTGGCTACAGTTGAAACAAAAACAGAAAAGGTTTCTTCTACTAAGAGTTCACTAATTGGTCAATTTAGGCCCAAAATTTAACGTACACAAGATTTTACAAAAAGACCAATAGGAAGAAATGGTGCTATGAGCTGCGGGAAAGGGGTTGTGGGTACCATCAGTATCAATAATATTTTATTTGGATATTAATATTCCTTTACAAAGTTTGTATGCCAAAGACTTCAGCAACATACTAGTGCATGAATATCAGGATGTGAAAGTCTATTTTTATTGCCCAAACTGTGAGTGAAACAAAAAAAAACCCCAAATACCACAAACATCCAAAAGAAAAATGGTTTTGACACATTTTTAGTTATGGTATTGTCATTTAACTGCCTTGCTTTAAATTAATTAAAGCCAGCATAGGAGAAAAATCTCTAATAATTTTTAAAACTTTGTCCCCTGAAACAAAAAGTACTTTTGTAGCATGTTTGTTGATAAAACATTACTTTCTTGTAAGAAGAATCTACATATCTTGTGCCACTACCAACACTGTCCAACTTCAGACACCTGGTGATTCATAGCACCTCACTCTTCCAGCTGACTCCACCCAGTCTGAGTTCTCCAACAATAGCTGTATTAAAGACCAACACCTGTGGCATGTATGAATGGAAGGAACAGAAGTTTTTAGACCTAACAAAATACCACTATTTGGAGGTGCTTTGCCTTAAAAGCACTTTAAAAAATACTGCCCAAGTGACCAACAGTTCCTAGCATTTTCCAGGAACTGCTACGTGTACCAGGAATAATATATTTGGTCAAGTATTCTAGTAAGTGTGTCAATGATTAGGGGAAAAATAGGTTGATGTACAAAATTAGACTACCACAACTGAATCTGCATTATTAGGATATCCTCTTAAGAGTCAAAATGCACAAGTAAAAAATGAAAACAAAGCTTTTAGCAAATAATATTTATCTTGCAGCAAATTCTTATGAATGTAAGCCACAAATTTTTAACCTAAATACATGGCCTGATTTTCATAAGAGATCCAGGAACTTATCGAGACATCTGTATGTGGTTTTATTGTAAGTGCTTAATTTTAGGCACATAAAAGATTTTATGGACAGGTAAACTAGGCAACTGTAATATTCCACAATCTGCATTGCTACAGTATAAGTATAGATGCAGACATTTTTTAAAGTTAAATGCATATAATTGATGGGATTTTGTGATAGGCTCTCACAGAAATTGCATATAATTTCTGAGTGCCCATCACAGAGCTAAGCCTGAGTTTAATGGTAAGAGAGGAACCCCATGCATTGTGTTGCACATGTATCTATTATCTAGTTCTTACAGGCACACAAACATTTACATTTTAATACAGTAATTCACATTTGAGTCTTCCCTCTTCCTGTTTTTCCTCCTGAATGATGGAATCTCCATAGATTTCCTGGCCTTTGCAACCTCAAGGTTTGCTAACTTACTAAATAGCCGTAAGAAGCCTTTTGCAGCATTTTTAGTGCTCTTCTCAGGATAAACTGTTGTCTGACATCTGTAAGCCAGCTGACACAATGGGTCCATATTTTATTCTTTCATTTCTTCAGACCTGAATTTAAATTCTTATGCAAGATGACAAGTGAATGTGAGCACAAGCTAATCTTCTTCATGTGAGTCACACAACTTGGGACCATGTGACTTGTTTGGTGAGAAATCTAAGAACAATCCAAATGCTGAAGGTCAGAATATAGCTGTGGAAGGCCCTCTACCTGCTCAAACTCTGCAAGGGGTCATAATAAACAACACCCAAAGCAATCACAGCACAACTCATTTTCATCCAGGATTCCATTCAGGATGTTGCAGGAAACCCCCAACATCCTAAATCCTCTTCCCTGACAAACTGATAGATCCATTCACAATACAAGTCAAGATAGCTATATATATAAGACATCTGCCTTTTCTCAATCTTAAGAAACATTACTGGATGAATCAAAGGATACTGAAATGCTAACTGTGCTATAAATTACAGAAATGTCACCAGACAGCCAGGTCGATTAACTGAGAGGGAAAGACAAGTGGTTGTTACACTACTGCCTAACTAATGTCAGAAACAGATGGCCAGTTAGACAAGCAAGAAGAGGGGTAACAGATCAAAAACAAGCATGGGAACGGAAGTCTGTCAGAGGTAGGGAAATCCCATTCCTCCTCCTTCTATACTCTGCAACAGGTAAAACATTTGGTAAATTGAGCCTTTCCCACGATGTGCATTTGGCCAAAGGACCTGCTCCATGGCCAAGGTTAAAGAATTCATGACCTTGGGAGTTGTCTGTTGTAGCCATGTTGGTGTAAGGACATAAACAGACAAGGAACTTTGGGTAAACGTGGTATCTTTTATTAGACCAACTAAACAGTTGGAAAAATTGTTCTTTGCAAGCTTTTGGGCACAAACATTTGAACTCCATTTCTCAGCTATTTACAACTAGTTATCTCTTAGTACTGTGAAGAGCTGGTTGTCACTGATGTTACTTACATAAGCAGTTCCACTGAAGTCAATGGGGCTGCTTGTTCCACAAGGCATGAAGAATGTGTGTCTAAAATGGATCAATTTTATTTCCATACAGGTTCCTAGAACAGTTTATTTGCTCTTGCTAATAAGTCAGTTAGCTTCATGACTCTAGCAATGTTGATGATCAGATCCCAAATTACAAGAAAGGTCTTATACCTATAATCATTTCAAATCTGGTTTATAGTTTATGTTCTTAATACCTGCACAGAGTACTTATAGAAAAATAAGTAATAATAACAGTAGTAAACGTGGTAAGCATTTTGATATAAAAAACCCTATGATAAATCAGAAATCTTAATATTACATCGTTAACTCAAATAGTCTTTATCTTATGGCTTCCCTAGTGATTGATGGTTTAATAAATCATTGGATATGTAATCACTGATAACAGTTAGGCATAAACATAAAATATCAGTCCTGGCGGGCATCTGCTAGACTTTAGACTATATTCTGGGTTTTTTAAGAGTAGTTTCATACTCATTACATGTATGCCAGCAATAAAATATGAGTAAACAGAAATGTATCTGGGTGAGATTCTTTTTTTCTCTTTAGAGAATACATCTTATAAAAAACAGAATAACCCCCCATATTTAGTACATGGATTTAGAAAGCTCAGTGACATCACCACAAATTTGGTGGAAGCAATATTTAGGTATTGCACAAACTTTAGAATGCACACACTGCTTTTACACATTTGAGGGCGGGGGGGGGAGGGAAATAAGCAATACAGGACTTTTCTACCATTTGCAGTAAATTTAATACCAGTCTGACAGGGCTTTCAAATCAAAATGCTCCTTCTAGAACACAGTTGCACTGGGGTAATCACCAGGGCGGTTCAAAGCTTCGGTCCCCGATTTGATTTGGCGGAGGTTTGGCCTGATTCAGTGGCCAAATCTCCAAATCCGAAGCAAATCAGAGGACCCTTTCATTTCTCCAAATCAAATCAGAACCCTCTGAATCGATTTGGAGATTCAGACATAGAGACAGCTTTAAAATGTTTTTTCTACATACCTCTAGGTAGCAAGCAGGTTGTGAGTGCTATGATGCTGGGGCTCATGGAGTGTCCCATAGGAGTGCGGGGGGCTCCCTAGTGCACTCAACAGCAG